TCGTGTATATAGTGCTGATCTGTTACGCAATTAATACGCGTATTTTTTAATTAAAATTTTTTCAGCATACAAATATGTGAAAAAATATAAATACTATGCAATTATATTCCAAGAAAGTTTAAGCGTAAGAATAAGCAAATAAGGAAATGATTAATTCAATTTTGTTTTAATTTATGCTCTTCGCCGTGGTTATTCGTATTACCTATTTTACAAAACATTAAAGTGTATATAATAAGGTTTATTTTAAAAATTTTTTTTATATGCATTAAAAAAATTAAATAATTTTGAGATGAGTAAGAAAAAAAATTTGTCAGGAAATATACTGTCTTTGTCTCGGTTATTCCTATTTCTACAAAATGTCAAAATGAAGCTCTGTGAATTACTGTATATAACCAAAGTTTAATGTTCAATTCTTCTCGCGGTATTGCATAATTCGTATTACCTGTTTTACAAAACAGCAAAATCAAACTCCAAGGTCTGTACTGTTATCTATAGAGCTAACGATGTATAAATTTTTAATACAGTTACTTAATTTAAAAAATATTATATATATATATTAATTTTATGAGAATTAAAGAAAATTGAAAGTAGCTATGTTTTTCTCATAATTTCTATTATTTAAAATTTTGAAAACCAAGATTATTAAAATGAATTTAATACAAAAAGAGGATATTAGATTAAAACATGCAAAAGCTCTTCCTTATTTGATCTATCAAAAATTGAAAGAAATTATCTTAGACAGAAAAAACAAAGTTTATAGTGGGTGAAATTTGACAGTAAGCCTTATAGTAATTCTTCTTCTTATGAAGGTTTTAATACTTTTTATTATTTATGGGTAAGCAGACTTTATTTTCTCTTTCCGATATTACAAACTTGTATTGATTTATGGTCAATTTAATAGTGTCAAAAAATCTCACCATTCATATTTGTACATTGAACCTTACAAGCCAATTGTGCATGGAACTTTTGGAGTCGACCAATCTGAACCTTGGGACGTATGGATAAAACAAATTATAATTATAAAAGATTTAATTGCTAAAATAATGGTTGGAAGCCGTGGATTCAGTCATTCAGATTATAATGATTTAGTACCGATATAAACAATAGAGTTTAAATCTTTTATACTTTTCAGCAAATTCATTTTATTCAAAATTCAAAGTTGGGAATGTTTGCTATATGATTTATTCATTGTTTAATAATTGTATTATAAAAGAAACTCAGTAAATAATTTTTTTAGAATTTTTGTCATTTAAAAATATTTAAAATGATTGCTTATAAGAAATTAGTTTCTTTAATATTTTTTTTTGTCATTATTGCTGAATATACAAGAAAAACTCTCGTGAAATTGTGTACTTTCCAATAAATTCTTATTGTTATATTATTTGTTGAGATTACAATAATTGGTTGTATGTAAATTTTTGGCTTTCTCCAGCAGGTGTATAGAAGTTCAATTGATTTTTTATCGAATTTTTATAGAGTCAATAAGTCGAAGCATTCATATTTCCGACCAATTGTGCATGGAACTTTTGGTGTTGATTAATATAAATTTTGGTATATAATAGATCAAATAAGAGACTTTTTTGGTGAAATAAAGTCAAGATGTCGTGGGTTCAAACATCCAGGTTATGATGGGTTAGTGCTATATTAAATTTTCAATTTATCCAACTTGGATTGGTTTTCTTGCAAATAGAATTTATAGTAGTGAATAGTTCAAACATCTGTATTGATATTTTTGTAAAATAGGCTTTTTTTAATTTATTAAACTAATATTAACGTAAAGTTAAATTTGTATTTATTAATAATCTAGTATAAATTTGTTAAATGATTTTTTTAACATTAACTGAATATCCCAATTAGTAATGATCGACAATGCTAGATTTTGCTCACTTGCAGTTAACATATAAATATCTCATTATAATTGCAACTTATCTCATTTATAAAAATTTTAAAAATTACTTAGTAAGATTGTTATGGACAGCGATGATATTTCTCAAACTAATCAAAATGAACTCATAATGTATATTAAGAAATCCATTTTATATTTTGTATTTTTATTTTTATTTTTAAATTAATATTTAAATTGTTGACTGTATTTATCGAATCTTTAGGATTTCAAAGAAAGACGTGAACAAGCAAAATCATACAAATCTAATAATTTCTCAAATAAATGGATCAGAACCATTAATTCCTATTACAACCACACCAAATACAAACTATCCTGCTGAACAATGGCCATTAGCTCTCTATAATTTTAAAAAGAAAAAAAATCAGATTCAACATGATTTGGAATGGGAGGAATTATCTTTAAGAATTAAGAGCTCTTTAGTCATATATACGGAAACTTTAATAATTTCTGATGAAAAGCAATGAAAGAATAAGATTAATGAACTAATTAAAAACTCCATTTCTACATTTCACGAAAAAAAACAAATTAATAGAAACAAGATTGCTCGTTGGAAGAAATTTTATTGATTAATTGTTTTATTAATCGAATTTTCAACATCAAATAATATTCCAATTGATTTTGCAGTTCAACAATTAAATAGTTTGGGATTAACAGTTAACTATTTTTATTTTGTTAGTGATGACAAGTTTAAGAAATTATTAGATCATTTTAAGAAATATTGTGTTGAACGTTATAAGAAATTTCAAAGCAATGTATTTATTTGAAACTAAAAAATAGAGCTGGCTGACTTTTTTTAAAAAATATTCAAGTTTCAGAAATTGCCTCTCTGGGACTTTACTATGTTATATTAATTTTAATAAGTAAAATTAAGGGTTTAATTAATTTAAATTAAGGATTTAAAATTAAAATAAATAAGCTTTAATTTATTCTGTTATAAAAATATTATTTTCGGTAATTTACTAGAGTTTTGAACCGTTGCTTTCTAGAGAAACGATCCATTATCTGCTTTGACTAAATTTGGGCTGAAATTAATAATTAGATATCTAATAGATGCAAGAACAATAAACTATTAGTCAACATTTTAAAATAAACAATTTCATATCATTAGATTTCGTTATCTGTTTTCAGGCACTTTAGTAAAATTTCAATCAAGTTTAATGTAAAAAATGATCCCCAATAATTTATTATACTATTACCGGTATTGGTTTTAAAAATAAGCCGCCGTGTAAACTTAAAGCTAGTTTTACTCAGTTTTGATCAAAAAAAGGTTAATTTGGACCAAAAGCTAAAAACGGACCATGAAACAATTTATTTGTGTAAAAAAATGAGCACCAATTAAAAAAATATTTTCTCACAAGTAGATATGTGAATTGTGAATTACAGTACATATAAATAAATTAAAACTATAGTTTTACAATAAACTACAGTTTATTTATATTAACTACTAGTTTATGGATTGCACCTCTACAAGAGGCTCTTATCTAACCATAAATATACTTGTTATTTCAAGTTTTCTTTGTAACCAACATATCTGCATAAAATTACTAATAGACATCAGAATGTACATGTTATTTCAAGACTTTTTTGTTAATGACTTACAAAATATTATTAGTTCGAAATCTTAATGTACAAGAAAATTGGCGTTTGTGCATACTACATAAACATATTGTTTAAGGAGCTCGCTAATAGACATTTGAATGTATACATATTATTTCAAGTTTCTTTGTAAATACAAACATAATTGTTTGAACCTAAACGTATAAGATAATTGGTGTTTTGTGCTGCATCAAATGTTGTCAAAGGGATGAGAAACAAATTGCTAATAAAGTTAAATGTACATGCTATTTCAAGTGTTCTTTGTTTAATGATTTGTAGCCACATATCTGCATAGAAATTACTAATAGGACAAGAAGCAAGTCGCTAATAAAGTTAAATGTACATGTACTTGTTATATCAAGTGTTCTTTGTTAATAATTTGTAGCCACATATCTGCATAGAAATTACTAATAGACATCAGAATATACATGTTATTTTAAGTCTTTTTTTGTTAATGACTTGCGAACACAAAATATTATTGGTTTGAAACCTAAATGTATAAAGAAATTGGCATTTGAGCCTAATTAAATAAGAAAATTGGCGGTTTGTATTGCATCAAATATTGTCAAGAGGCTCTTATCTGACCAGAAGCAATAAGTTAAATATACTTGTTATTTCAAGTTTTCTTTGTAACCAACATATCTGCATAGAAATTAATAGACATCAGAATGTACATGTTATCTCAAGTCTTTTTTGTTATGACTTGCGAACACAAAATATTATTGGTTCGAACTTAATGTATAAGTAAATTGGCGTTTGAGCCTAATTAAATAAAGAAATTAGCATTTTTGTACTATATCCAAATGTTGTCAAGAGGCTCTTATCTGACCAGAAGCAAATTGCTAATAAAGTTAAATATACTTGTTATTTCAAGTTTTCTTTGTAACCAACATATCTGCATAAAATTACTAATAGACATCAGAATATATATGTTATTTCAAGACTTTTTTGTTAATGACTTACAAAAAAGACTTGAAATAATATTTACATTCTGATGTCTATTAGTAATTTTTATTACAAAAAAAACTTGAAATACAAATATATTGGCGATTTGCTTCTGGTTAGATAAGAAATTTGATGCAGTACAAAACGCCAATTTCTTTATTTAATTAATCTTAAACGTTATATATTAAGGTTTCAAACCAATAATATTTTGTGTACGAAGTCATTAACAAAAAAGACTTGAAACAACATGTACATTCCGATGTCTATTAGTAATTTTTATGCAGATATATGGCTACAAATCGTTAACAAAGAATACTTGAAATAGCATGTACATTTAACTTTATTAGCGATTTGCTTCTTGTCCTTTTGACAACATTCGATACAACACAAAACGCCAATTACCTTATACGTTTAGTTCGAACTAATAAGTTATTAATGAAAAAACTTGAAACAATACGTACATTCCGATGTCTATTAGTAATTTCTATGCAGATTGTTTACAATGAAAACTTGAAATAACAAGTATATTTAACTTTATAGTTAGATAAGAGCCTCTTGATGCAAAATGCCAATTTCCTTATATATTAAAGTTTTGAACCAATAATATTTTGTGTTTGCAAGTCATTAACAAAAAAAGACTTGAAATAACATGTACATTCCGATGTCTATTAGTAATTTCTATTACAAAGAAAACTTGAAATACAAATATATTTAACTTTATTAGCGATTTGCTTCTGGTTAGATAAGAACATTTGATGCAGTACAAAATGCCAATTTCTTTATTTAATTAAGCTTAAACATTATACTTTAAGGTTTCGAACCAATAATATTTTGTGTTCGCAAGTCATTAACAAAAAAGACTTGAAACAACATGTACATTCCGATGTCTATTAGTAATTTCTATACAGATATGTGGCTACAAATCATTAAACAAAGAACACTTGAAATAGCATGTACATTTAACTTTATTAGCGATTTGCTTCTTGTTCCTTTGACAACATTTGATGCAGCACAAAATGCCAATTATCTTATACATTTAGGTTCAAACAATTATATTTGTATTTACAAAGAAACTTGAAATAGTATGTATACATTCAAATGTCTATTAGCGAGCCCCTTAAACAATATGTTTATGTAGTATGCACAAATGCCAATTTTCTTGTATATTAAGATTTCGAACTAATAACATTTTGTTAATGACTTGTGAACACAAAATATTATTGATTTAAAACCTTAATATATAAGGAAATTGGCGTTTTGCATCAAGAGGCTCTTATCTAACCATAAAGTTAAATATACTTGTTATTTTAAGTTTTCATTGTAACAGAAATTACTAATAGACATCAGAATGTACATATCTTTTTTGTTAATAACTTATTAGTTCAAAACCTTAATGTACAAGAAATTGGCGTTTGTGCATATTACACAAACATATTGTTTAAGGAGCTCGCTAGACATTTGAATGTATACATATTATTTCAAGTTTCTTTTGAAACCTAAATGTATAAGGTAATTGGCGTTTTGTGCTGCATCAAATGTTGTCAAAGGGACAAGAATCAAATCGCTAATAATGTACTTGTTATTTCAAGTGTTCTTTGTTAATGATTTGTAGCCACATATCTGTATAGAAATTACTAATAGACATCGGAATGTACATGTTATTTCAAGTCTTTTTTGTTAATGACCTGCGTACACAAAATATTATTGATTCGAAACCTTAATAGACAAGAAAATTGGCGTTTGTACATACTACATAAACATATTGTTTAAGGGGCTCGCTAATAGACATTTGAATATATACATATTGTTTCAAGTTTTTTTTGTAAACTCCAAAGATAACTGTTCGAAACCTAAACGTATAAGGAAATTGGCATTTTGTGCTGCATCAAATGGACAAGAAACAAATGGCTAATAAAGTTAAATGCATAGAAATTACTAATAGACATCGGAAACATCAGAATGTACATGTTAGTTCAAGTCTTTTTTTGTCAATGACTTGCGAACACAAAAATCACTAATAAAGTAGAATGTACATGTACTTGTTATTTCAAGTTTTCTTTTTAATCAAATGATTTGTAACACCACATCTGCATAGAAATTACTAATAGACATCATACATGTCTTTTTTTTGTTAATGGCTCATGAACACAAAATATTATTAGTTCGAAATCTAAACGATAAGGAAACTGGCGTTTTGTGCATACTGTACTTATACTTGCTGGTAAAACTATTGGGATTTGGGATGAATTTTATTATATTTGGGATGGGATTTGGGCTTTGGGATTTGGGTCAATTTTATTATATTTGGGATTTTGGATTTGGTGAGATTTTGAGATTTTTGGTTTTGCCAACATGTACTACATACGTAATGCCGGAAATTAAATTTATCTAGAAATTAAATTTAGCTAGGATTTAAAATATTTGAATTTTTAAAAAACAGTTATTTGCGCTATTATACGATCTTCATAAGAAATATTTATCATAATTGCTAAAATTTCAAAAGTTTCATAACAACTAACAAACTTCCCAATAATCATAATATGTTACATCTTGTTTTTTTTATAAATAGAGTTTCATATAATAAGTATAAACCTTTGTAAATTTAAATCCATATTATTAGCTAATTTCTTAATAAGTTTGCTCTTGTCTTAATTGAAACATAATAAAAATTCCTAATTTCTTATTATAAGATAATGATCTATATATGTATTTCATTTAAAAAAAACTGACTTCTTTGAATTAATTTAAATTACTTAAATTACTATAGATGTATATGGAAAGAAATATTTTAGTAAATCATAAAATTAAAGCAATTTTAATTTTAATTTGAATACTAACCTTATTTTTACAAATTCCTTAATAATCGAAGAAATATCCCTATCAGATAAATTAGTCTTTGTTAATTTTGTAAGTCTAAAGAATTTTTCTCTTAAATTTTGCTCTATTAGGGTTTGAGTCACTAAAAGTAAATTTTTTAAATATCGACTTTTTCGACTATGTTTTTTTATATCGCTATAATATTTCTTTGTTTTATCAACTGTTTCGTTAGATACTTCATCTGTTTTTTTTGATAATTCACCATTTTCTTGAGTTTCTAAGTAATTTTTAAATTTTTCGAGTGTTTTATCGGGAGGATATAGTTTAAGAAAATTATCTAAAAGAATTAAATCCCATTTAATTGGCACATAATTAAGTTGATCTTCAAGATTTTTACGGAATTCTATCCATTTATTAATGTTGACCGAATCCCCACCAACTGGTGGTGTAACATTAAAAATTTTGTTTTCTTGAATTCGTTGAATCATTTTAGCATTCTATTCATCAACTTTAACCAATTTTGAATCAAGCTCATTATTTTCGTTCATATCGATCTATAAAAATCAATCTTCTTTCAATTGTAAAAAATAAACTGCTAAATAAAATATATATACTTACTTTTTTTTAATGATCCGCAAATAAATGTCTTTTACGTAGCAAAAATTTGATGATAGGTTTTTTAAATAAAATATTGAATGAAAATGAAAATCTTTATTTTAAATAAAAAGGATATTTATGCTGTGAAACCTGATTTGGGCTGAGATAGAACTCTACATATCGATATCGATTATAAACAAATATAGAAAGTAAAAAATCGAGTTTACATATCGATATTTATCCAATAATTGAACTGCATTTGTTCTTTATTTTTTTCGAATTAACCTTTACAGTTAACGTTAATATTGATATTAATGAAATAAATCCAAGTATAATTCCAGGGATTGTCTAAAGCAGGTGCATTCACGTGACTAAAGGTTAATTGTTCCTTATTTGAGAAGTACATTTAGAGCCCATAGCAAAAGGTGATGAGCCAAAAAAAAATTTTTTGTAAAACTTTATTTTTGCAAAAACTAGATTTAGAACACAATATTAAAAAGCTACAGAAAAAAATTTTTTAGCCCATCACCACCTTTTGCTGTGGGGCCCCCATTTACGAAAAATGAAACATCGAACAAAGCTTTTACAATAATGTAATGAATTGAACATTAACTTTGTTTATTCTTAGCAGTATTAAATTCCGTTTATGATAGAATTTATGTTACCCAAGTTACCCGAGTTACTTTATTTTATTCAATTTTGCAAAAATTATTTTTATTCAAATGAAATAATTTCACACAATATTAATTAACAATCACTATTAATCGAATCATCAATTGTTTCAGTATCAGTAATCGTAACATTATTAGAATGACTAGTTTGATATAGTTCATCTCTGAGAAAAATTGAACTCTATAACAGTGATTCTAAGTGCTTGACCCTGCTTTTTAAAAGATCTATTGTTAAAAATATGAAAATTAATAATTTGGTCACTCACTAATTTTACAATCTTGAAAAAAAAGATTTACTTGAGCTTCTAAGTTTTTGATCAAGTTAATCTTTTCTTTATTGACCAAGTTCAGTTTCGCGACTTCTCTTGTCAAGTTATCAATTTCTGTATTCTTTTAGACAATTTCATTTCTATATAAGTTTCGGGAATTCAAATCTGAATCTGCATCGTTTTCTCATTCTAGAAGTTCGATTGGCTGGTCTAGAACGTATGCTCAATGGGCCGTTCTTTTTCTATCTCTTTTAACAAAGAATAACGTTTTCCAACAATAAAATTACAAATTATAACTGAATAATCGCATAGACTAATATGAAGTATTTTGGTTGTGTGGAAGTATATTGCACATTAAAGTTTAAAAAGCAATATTGCTGTTCGGTTAAATTAGTAGAATATTGATTATTTGTTAAATCTAACTTTAAATAATTATAAATGCGTAAATTTTTTTTTTTAGTTTATAAAAATAAAAATACCTGATTGCTAGGTTAGATTTTCAAATTTTAATCGTTCATTTGAACTTCGAGTTTTTGGATTCTTCTTTTTCTCATGAAATTTTCTCAAATTCGCTTTCGCTTTTTCAAAATTATTTCTTAAGTTATCGATTGATTCTTTGTTGACAAGGCTTCTAGGGCTTCTATTGGTACTTCTTTCTTGTGTTTTGAAATTGTATCAGAATTTTTGTTTTTATTCTGTTTAAATATTTTAGATGTTTATTACGATTTTTAGTAAAAATTCTTTTGGGTAGCTTTTTCCTCTTCATGATGAAGTTAATCACTCAGATATTTTTTCTCATCATATGAGATTTTAACAGTTATGATAACGATTATATTAGCCTAATGGTTATATTATCCTAATGGTCGTAATACAATCGTTACAGATGGATCTTGTTATTTATTTCATTAAACTGTAAACAGCCCGCCGGTCGTGAATACAGGTTCTTATATACAAATTCATCTTTATTTTTCTATAACATATTTGTATAGTGAGTATCTGTATTACTTTTAATTATTTTTAACTATATAAAATATGCAAAATACTTCTCTGTTTTTTCTTGAAAGAAAGTTGTAAAAAAAATTTTAACGAGAAAATATTATTTATGGTTCCTTCTAAGACATTTTTAAATTAAAAAGTTAAAAGTAAAATTAAAGTTACTAATAGCCTCAGATGTATTTAAATACATATCTTTTGACTTAAATTAGGCGCTAACCAGTTTACATATATAATAAGTTGACTCAACAACTAAGTGGACTTTTATACATGCAATTCTGAAATTAAAACCCGGTTTATAATTTACATAACATACCGTCTAAATCATTGTTGAACATCCTGTTAAACCGATAATATTAAATTATACATGCAATTCTGAAATCAAAAACCGGTTTATAATTTATATAACATACCGTCTAAATCATTGTTGAACATCCCGTTAAACCGATAATGTTAAATTATACAAAAATTTATCTAGCGCTAGGTAGTTTGGTTTTCGTATAAAACTTTTTGCTGAGTCGAAATCATTAAGTTAACGACGTCGGCGAAATCAAAAGCGTTTTAGTAAACCGTAAAAAACACAATTTATTACTAGGTAAAGATTTATTCTTTATGATATATACGTTATGTAATTTCAAAACTTATATTAAAAATTATAATATTAGGGATTAAAAATGAATTTTGACGAGTTAATGAGTCTGAGGTTTGTGGTGCTGAAATAAGATATTGATTTGTGATTGATGGGTGTTTAATTTTTAAAATATCATTGTAATATTCTTGAACAACATTTGTTCTATTATTTAACCATTCTTGTTTCTTATTATAAGAAACTCTGTAATACTCTTCATAGGTTTTCGTTACTTCAATTTTTAAGTAAAAGATCACATATGACACTGCTTTTAACTCCCGCACAGAATAGTCTAGGTAGTTTCCGTTAAGTTGTTCGTAATCAACTAAATATAATGCTGGGATTAGTTCAGATGAATAACTAAGATTTAAACAACTATATACATCATATCAAATTATTAAAATTGGTAATAATTTATAACAGGCAGGTGTTTTAACATTTACCTTGTTAACTCTAATTCACGACATTGTCTACATATTCTAATTTTTAGCTCAAGAATTGTGCAATTGTTGTTTGGTTGACCACAAAATTGGCATGTTTTATCAAACTTTAATCTACAATATTGTTTTACGGTCATTTGAATAGGACATATATGATCTGGCATTTGCTGTAGAGAATACTTCCAAATCGATTCATTTTCCAACTGCCATAATATTAAATAAAATGATTTTTTAATAAATTTATTCTTTTCAGTTCTTCTTCTAACTATAAAATTTATAAAATTTATATTATTTAATCCAATTTTAAATAATTATTCATATAAAAATTAAATACCTGATTTGCAAGGTTGGAATTTTCAAATTTTAATCCTTCCATTTGAACTTCGAGTTCCTGGATTTGTTCATCTTTTTTTCGAATTTTGTATTTTAATTTTCTATTTTCTCTTTCAAGGTTTTTGATAATTTTCTTTTTTTGTTCTTCAAACTCATTCTTCAAGTTATCAATAGCTTTTTCATTTATTTCAATGGCTTTGGCTTGGTATTTCTTTGTTGCTTTTTCGTGTGCTTCTATAAATTTATGACATTGTTTGTTTTGTTGTGAAATTTTTGCTTTTATTCTTTTTAAATATTTTAGATGCTCAAGAATGATTTTTTGTAAAAATTGTTTTGGGGTTGGGTTTTTTCTCGTCATGGTGAAGTTAATCTTAGATTTTTTTACTTATAATTTGAAATTGGACGACGGTCGAGAAGAATCTTGTTATTTATTTGATTTAGCTGTAAATAGTGTACGAGTCGTGAATAATCATTTGATCCATCTTTTCAAGTATACTGGTATAATATTTACAAACTACAATAGAATTACAATATGCATAATTTATATAGTTTTTATGTCGAAACTACAATAAGAATATATAAACTCATGAATTCACGTCAGATAACGATAGGATTTTTAGTCGAGCGACACTATTAAATAGAAATTAGTTATAAATATGTATCGATAAAATAAATTTATATAACTTCTACAGTATATGTTACATCAAACCGGAATTGAACTTAAAATTAGAGTAGTTTTTTATATTGATGCCAAATTTGGCTTAAATACATGGCAATAGAATTTGTAAGCTTTCATATACCAAAAATTCATATAATTTCTAATGGACAGTTCGAAATTTTGATCTTTTTTGGGTACATCACGCAACAAAATAGAATTTCACGCAATTTTCCACACCATAAAGATTATTAGACTCTTGCTCAATAGCATTTTACGTGTATCATGTATACTAAAGTAACTTTCAATATAATATAATGTGCAATTATTTTACATATGTTATTTAAATAAACCAATATTTTGCGTAATTAGACTACATTTTTATATTCAGTTGACTCAGAGTCATGATTTATGGATACGAAAAATTACACGTGATTTGTCAAATATCAGTTCATTCATGTAATCTGGTTTTCATTCTTGAAATTAGGGATGTTAAATGGTCCACAGGGAACTAGTTTGGACCGGGTCTGGACTGGGACTTTTTAGGGACTAGTAGAACTAGTTCAGAACAGGTCCGAAACTAGTTCAAATCTTACATGATATGAATAAAGTGTCCTTTTTGACACACTAAAAAATTTTAATAAATATGAAATCAAGAACGACATTCCTTA